TATCAAGTTGGATATGATTTCCCTTGGGAAAAGCCTGTTCCCAACCCATGCTGCTTTGTATAGTCTGATCTGCTTTAATTGATCACATCAATTACAGGGAAGGAAAAACCTTATCTTTCTACCAGTTGATCTCACAGTGAGTCCCCAAATGCTATGCCCACCTTAGAATCTGTAGGCCATCTTAAAGCAGCAAGGGGACAGAACAAATAACCAAAATGGCCCCAGGCAGACTCAACAGAATCTCTCCAGGTTTCTCCCCAAGGCATCAATAATGGCTCCTGTACTGTGGGATTCTTATTCCAGTTTGTAGAAACTGAATGTCTAGGAAAGGGGTGATCTTTTCTAACGAGAAAGAAACTGGGTGGGACAGGTGGAGAAAAACTTTTTTTTTTTTGGTTTTACGAGACAGGGTTTCTCTGTATTGTTTTGGAGGCTGTCGGACCAGCCCAGCCTCGAACTCAGAGATCAGCCTGCCTCTGCCTCCCGAGTGCTGGGATTAAAGGCGTGCACCACCACCGCCCGGTTGGAGAAAAGCTTAATACCAAATATCTGTAAATCCCATCAACCATGACACAGCTTCTTTCTTCCACTGAATAAATGTTATCTAGTGGAAAGCATGCTCACAAAGCGGGCAACACTAATGCATAGAACCACCGGGAGATTCAGAAACAGACTCTTCCCAGGGGAGCTCTTATCCAAGTTGATACAAACTATCAGGATGAGTTTTTCACTTGAGTTGCCCGTTTCTGCCTTCCCAGTGCTGGGCTGGGAATTGAAGGTGCTGTACCATGCTTAGCACTGTTTTTTTAAAATCATGACAACTGCTACTGCAAATTACAAACATTTTGTGAACTAAATTAGCCAAACATAAATGTGCATGCGCACACACACATACACAGATACAACAGGTATTAATGTGCAATAGAAAAACTAATCTCTAACTATGGAAAACTCCTCACAGAATGTCTCATAGGATATTCTTGGGATTGAGGTTGTAAAGCTTTATTCGAAGGGAATCCTGACTTAGAAATTGCACTCAGTCATCTGGCTTAATATATCACTATTAAATAGCACGCATTTTTACATAGTAGTCGGCGTAAATTTATCATGTTAACTTCAGAAGCATAGTAAGTTGCTTTCACCGAACGCAGACATTCTATAAACTGGACAGTGGGAGTTGAGGGCAGGAGAAACAACACAGGATCCACATTCTCTGGGAAAGTACACATTGTGGGTGACACCTAGATACCACTGCTCAAGTATCCTAAGTTTGTTTCTTGTTTAAGGTAATTGTATGCATTTAGAAAATCTGCCTCAAATTCGTGTTAAATAAATGCTGCTGAAATCAGAAAGATACTAATTTTTCCTTTTGGTTCAATATAAAATAGCCATTGATTCTACCAGTGACTAGCACCATTGTCACTGTTTGCCAAGGTGACAATACTAGAAGGCATCACAGACATAGCAAGACATCTTCACTAGCAATTATCTCCAAATTATGATCAAGGTGTCAACTCAAGCATCATTTTTCTCTCCACTAAAAGCAAAACAAATAACAACCGAGTTTTAAGGTTTATTACCTGGCATTAAGAAAGAAAACACCTGTTTTTAAGTACAACAGACCCAATTATCTTAAATAGGAACACCCTTCTCATCCAGCAAAGTACTAGAACAAAGGGAACATCTTGACTCTGATACTGCTCTGCATTCCTGGATGACATGACATCAAGGTCTATATGCTGTGTCCCACAGATGGACACTGGAAGGTCATCTCCGTGGCCCAAGAAGTGCCATATTAAACACGGTGGGGTGACAACTGGAGTCTCAAATCCAGTATGAGTTCAGCAAAGAAGAGCATTTTCCCCACAGCAATGAGACCAACCAGTAAAAACCAACAAGGGCCATGCACGTTTCTTGTTAAATATTGTTTAACAAGCATTTTAAACAATGAGGTTAATTCCTGGAAGAAAGGTTATGGGTTTCTTTCCTTCTCTGTGTTGCAGGGTCTCTGATCAGAGTCAGTTCTGAAGGGAGGAGTTAGCACACACAGTGTTATTTTATTCCCCTAGCATGGGCAGAAATGCTTTTCATTTTAAAGCTCATTCCAGAGATTCAACTTTTATCTTTACTCCTTTACAGGCAGATAAGCATAAAGCATAAAAGAGAATACATGACAGCCTCTAGCTTGGTGAGTCAACCTCTCCTTTCATGGAGAAAGCCCAAGGGTTCCAACAACATATCATATCTCCATCTGCCTGGTACAATGCAGAACCTCGGCTCTCTGCAAGGACAGAGATCCCAGCTGAAAAGTGCAATAAGAACAGAGAAGACACATGACCCACACATTCAAAGCCAGTCTTTTCAACAAAAGCCACATCAACTCAGATAGCTTTTAAAGTTGACATTAACCATACTTACCAGTCAGAATCTCGCCATAAGAGGGGAAATCTTCAGAAAGTGACACTTACTGTCTAAAAGTGTCTGTAAGCATGTAAAAAGCAGTAGTATTCTGTCTGCCCCCACAGATTAGCATTGAACACTCACAGCTACTGAGTTAGACAAGAAAAATGAGTACATGAAGCTGGGATTGTCTTGACTAGCTGTTGCCTGCCGGAGATGAATTCTCATTGGGTTTGGTTCTCACAAAGTAGCACTCATATTTCCACAGCGACGGCTACCACTTCCAAGACAAGAGCCAGAAAAGCAAGTAAAAGGATATATGAGCATGTTTACCTAAATCTGTTGCTGTATGTGAAACAAAATCACACATGCTTTTGATAACAAAATAGCAGCACCATCCTCAAATGTCACAACACAGCCATCATTTTGTGCACACAGCACTCAAGCCAATGTGTTGAGATTTGTTACTTTTATACAGTTAACGACAACAAACTATTCTTAAAATCCATCATGGAAGAGTTTCCCAAATGAAAAGAATGATTATGGACCAGCTCCATGAAGGCAGGAATTAATTTTGGGTCACCCAATACCTGACGTAATGTAGGGGCCCAATAAACTTTCAGTGACGACATGGACATATTAGAAGACAGACAAAACATGTTTTTCTCAAGTTGTTGGAATCGTTGCCATTTATTTACAATAAAGCCCCACTGAACACATGTTACGTCACACTAGGTGAAACAGAAAAACACAAAAGGAAGAGTTTCTTGGGTTTTTATTATTGTTCAAGGCTGTATAGACACAGTTTTGAATATTTGTGTAAAGGTTCAGAAGAAGGTAAACATCTAAATTTGCTCAGGTGTTTAGGTAAGCATAACGAGAGTGAGGCTGTTCTGCTTTCAGTCGTATGACGAAGCATTCCTTTGGCACACAATATCAAACACGAAAGCTTAGAAACACATTCAACTGAAAAACGTCCTTTTGTGCTAATTGTTTGGCACCCCAGAAGCCATCTATTAAGAGAGCAGACTTCAAGATCATGGTCATATGATGTCCGGGGGGGGGGGGAATGAAGCAAATAGCAGCATGAGGGTGTTTTGAGAATTTGGTTCTGAATGCTGTCTCTGAAAGACGCCAAGATAAAACCAGGAGATGGCTCTGGACACCCCCACATACCTCCACACACAACAGGAGCAAACAAATGCAACAGTAAAAGAACAATATGAACTCACTAACTAGGTTATAGGCAGTTGCCAGAGAAAACCTTTAGGGAAGAGTATTTGGGGGAAGGGAGAAGAACTGGCCACTTACTCGGAGGGTCTCTGGCCAAAAGAGTCAAAAGAAATAACATTGACTTGAACTAGAGGTAGGAGAACACAAAAGGCCGGCCCGGAGTCACCTAGAAGAGCGAGGAGGCCAATGGCTCGGCAAATGTGAGTAGCTTGTAGTGAAGAGACACTAGCTTTGAAACTCTCCAGACACGTGTGTTCACGGGGTCCAGGGATATGGAAATACAAGGCAAAAAACTCAACAAGTTCTCAGACTTTTAAAATGCCCACAGCTACCATATTGCCTGCCTAGCCGCCCATTCCTCTTTCCCGGCTCTTAAAAACTGGAGACCAGCGATAAAAACTGGAGACTAGAATCAAAAGGGCTTTGCTGACCAAGCGAAGGTCAGGATTCTGCAAACTGAATCTCCGCAGATACCAGGAAGCTCTGGCATGACTGATTTTCCAGGTCATGACATATCCCAAAAGATTCAAATGCCTTAAGGGAAAGGCCACTCACTAACCAAGAGGCAAAGGAGAAAGCTTGAAAAACAAACAAACAAACAAACAAAAAACCGCAAGCACATGTAATGCTGCCTCCAAGATTCACTTCTGGACAGTTGCCAACTTTTTAGCATAAGGGGAAAAATGTTCTTCTGGGCCCATGTATCATTTCTTCATGCTACTTTGGTGAAATTAGAAGAAGAAAAAAAAATCGGATAGCACAAAAAGCATATAAAAAAACCCAGGATATTCTCCACCTGCACAACCCCTAACCAGAGACAACAAAATGTTTCGCTTTACTGCGGAGGTAAAATTAGTGGGAGGTAGAAAAGAAAGACAAGCTTTAAAAGAATGAAGTTTCAGGCAAGACACACTTAGCTACATGGGCCAAGTACTAGATTCTGATAGCTCCATTCTAGCAAAGAACTGGTCCACATGGATCTAATTCTTGAGTCCCAAAGGAGTTGTGACCCAAAGATCTTTGAAGACAGTTTTACAGAGCTTAAAAAGCTTGAATTGGATTAACTCTTTTACTTCTGCATGTATGCAGTTTCCACTTTGAGAGCACCGTTCAATTTCTGTTGAGCATATTCCTTTGAAATAACGGCAGGATTACCTTACACACCGCATACTGCATACATGCGACCGCAGAAGGTGGAATAGGCTAGTGGAACCTGCCACCTGAGGAGGTGGGCTTAATGCAGTCAAGGCTGAAGGCTTCGGGAAACGGGATTAAAAAGGCACTGAACAACTCCAACGCTTAACGCTGCACTCATTTCATTTAAAACATCGATACAGACCTCCCCCACGCAAAGTAGGACATTTTACCTGTCGTACCAGATCCAGAGCAGGATGGGAAAAGACTTCTAGCGATCCAAGCCTTGTTCCAAATTTAAATCAAGAATCCCAAGGGAGTGAAAGGCGACTTCGGGGAGGTCCATTCTGTATGCAGGGTGTGAGGACCGGCTGCCCTCCCGGAGAGAGATACTGAGGGTCCCCCAGGACTAAAGTGACTGTGGACTCTAGCGGAGTCCCAGTGTCAGACCCTATCCCAAGTTCTGCGACCCGCGTGGCCTCTGTGGATCGCACACTCCTGGAGTGCGAGTCAGCTAGCGGCACCGGGACCGACGAGAGAGGGAGGGTGGCAGCTCAGGGTGCAGCCCAGAGGGCGAGGGTCAGAGGCTGCAGCCCGCGCCCGCAGTACCCGGACGCTCACTCACTCATCTGCCGGAGCGCGGCCTCCAGCTGCTCACAGCTGGACGCGGCCTGGAAGGCTTGCGCCCCACCGCTTCCCCCTCTGGTCCCCCGCGCACTCTCTGCAACTTACTGGGGCAGCTCCCGGGCCGCGCGACGGGGACGGGGACAGGGACTGGGACTGGGACCGGCGAGCGAGCGGCTGCAGCGCGCTGGGGATCCCAAGCTCCAGAAAGCTGGAGGAGCGGTCGCCACCTTCCAGGTCGGCGCAGACAGAAGCTCCCGCAGCCGCCGCGCTGCAGAAGGCGGGCTCGGCACGTGGACGCCCCTCTGAGTAGGGGCGGAGGGGCGGGGAGATGGGCGGGGCTATGGGTCGTCCCGCCCCCTACCCTCGTGCTCGGGACCCCCGCCGGGAGCGCTTGTCTCAGCCGCGGCCCCGCGCCAAAGCTCTAGGATGGCGGTGTCCCGCTCCGCGCCTCGGTGTGCCCAGGAGCAGGCTGTGCACACGTGGTTCTGCCCCAGCTGCTGGCTGGGTGGGCGTGGGTCTGAAAAACAGAGCTTTACCTTTTTAATCCCGTTTCCCTTGGCAGAGCCCAATCTCAGGGGCATTTCTGAAGTTTCTTGTAAGCAGGATTTTGTCTCTTACTACTGAGAATTGGGAACATAAGGGTAATAGTATATGATGATAATAGACCGGAAGTGTTGGTCAAATAGCACCACTTCCTCTAAGGAAATAAAAACTCGAGGACTCCAGACTTGTGACTAGGCAGGCAGTCATGGTTATTTGGAAGTGGGTTTTAAGAAAATGATACTTGGTATTTCCTAGCCAGTAAAAGCAGAAGTTACACAATGAAGGTTTCACGTTTGGTGCTATTTTGTTTACTTTAGGAATCTCTGATAAGATTAAAGTTACAATGTGAAACTTTTATTTTAACACAAAACAAAGCAGAACATTGGCCCAGAATAGAATATTATTGCATATTTTTATGGCTTGGTGGGAAGGGCTTCTCTTTTCAACTTTATATTGTGAAGGTCTCTTTATTCAACTTCTACTAATAATGTTAGTTACGTGCCCGCTCATGTGATGCCGTACAAATGCAAATTTCTAATCATCCTTTAGAGCGTACCTCTCTGGGAAAATGTGAATAGTGTAGCGTTTGCTCCAGAAATGGTACATGCATACACGCTGTGTTACCATCCTCAGAGGTAATGTATCCAATGAAGTTCACCATGGTTCTCAGTGAGGAATTCCAAGTCTTTAGATAGGCACAGAGAGCGACTACGAGGAAACCGAGAGCAAATGTGCTAAAGAATAAAAGCGACCAGCATAGACACATTACATTTTATCACAGATGCTCTATGCAAACTACCCTTAATGACATCTTGTGAACTAATACGCGTGGACACTGACACCAAACACCCACTCAAACTCAGTTCCATACTTCTCAAGCCTCAAGATACCGCATTGATTTTTATAAGGATAGCAGATCTATTGTTAAAAAAAAAAACTAAGCGTTTTTTTTTTTTAATACAGGGTTTTGTGACTATCATTCTGCAATGGATGGTCATGCTGGGTTATTCCAACCTCAGAACAAGGTTGATTTTTGAGTCAAGGTAGGTTGGGATCCCACAGTGCCTGCCACTGCTATCTTCTAGCAGGACTGAAGAATTGGCCCTTACAGGCCTGTGGGAACACCAGACCTTGAGCAGAGACCCACTTCCCCTTCTGCCTGGGAGTAGGCAGCTGTAAGACAATGTTTACTAAAAACATGTTTACTAAAAACGATACAATAAGTTCCTGGAAAAGGCCTTCCCACGGAAACCGCCCTGACCTCGACCTTGTCCAAAGACTAACCGCACCTTCAAAACCCACACATATCCACCTCTGGGGTCAGGGCAGAACCAGCCAGGGTAGAGGAGAGAGCAGAAGCTTCTCTGGTGGGAGCCTTTCTTAGGAAGTTTTCTTGAGCCTTTTTGGGGCCTGCTTAAAGTTTTCTTTACATCATTGAACAAGTCTCTGTGTTGTCAATCCCCGACACCCTCCGCATGTTCTCGGACACAGGCCGCGCAGCAGACGCGACACAGGCCAACCTTAGGGTCACACACCGTTACGATAGAGAATTCCACTCTTTAACATGAAAACTCAGACCTTCAGGAGTTGACCCTCAGTAGCTGTGCTTTTACACAGATAGTCCCAGGAAAAAAACAACTGACTTGCACCGCAGAACTTATTTCTTAGTAAAATAATAAGGTTTTTGCCTAGTCATCCAGATACGAGACCTACACGGGTATCCCATCACATAAAACTCAAATGACCAAGGTGATAGAACATTGAAACACTGTCTTATTGCCTGAGAAGAACCCCTCTTCCCCTGAATACAGCCCATAGAGTGACTCTGAGCAGACTCTTTCTATTATCTTGCCTGCTGCACTGTCTTTAATTTTAAAAGCTGGGTGTCGAGTAATCAAGACTTGCCTGGAACTCATTATGTAGACAAAGATGATCTTGCCCTCATCCCAAGTGTCAGAACAATAGGACTATGTTACCACAAATTCTTTATACTGTCTTTGAATCACTGGCCTGTCACCTCCATTTCTAAGTATAGAAATACCTTTTTTTTTAACATTTGACACATCATTCACCCATATATTTTTATTTAAGTACATTATGACATCCAAATGTATACTTAATCAGAGATTATGTTGCAGTACAATGAGTTGAAACAAAGTGATCTATTATCTAGAAATGGCCAGTTCTGTCACAATACCATTGATTGAGTCAACATGATTTGGATGTTTCCTGAAGCTTCTATATATGGTGTCTACATGGAACTAATCAGAGGTATTTCTCTGTGAGACAAAAAAATAAACAAGTCACTTATAACAAATTTCTAGCATAATGGCTAGGAAGTTTGACACACTAATCTTTAATGTCATGCATAACCGATATCATATTTTCTGTGTGAAATAATTGATTAACCCTAAATCTTGCATCATATCTTTGGTTATTTCTCAACTTGCAAAAGATGTGTGGATGTAGAAAGAGTGGGATCCACAGATCTAGTATTAGACTCTAATATAGACTATGACAGATACAAGAAAACACAACAGGAGGTTTTGAAAGCAAGTTAAATCTTATGTCTGTAAACCTCCCCCCCTTAGGAATGAAAGAGTCCAACATGTTCTTTTTTGAGGACAACCCAGGCTGTCATCTTCCAGATTTCACAAACATTTGTGCACATCTGAGCGCCCAAGGATTGATGGAATTACAGGGAATTTCAAGGGACTTTCATGAATGAATAAAACCCATGCCCTGTCCTACCACTCTTGTCAAGCCCAAAGGCATTCTCAGGCCCACAAATGAGGATTTCATTTAAGATCAAATGAGTTGATTCTTACAAGTTCCAGTTTATGGCTGTATTATCTTCAAGCTGCTTCAGTGAATACAAACTAAAAACATTTGCCATTTTGTGCACTGATTTGATGTTGAATAGTGATGTTTGGGTCATAACAAAATAAGACTTGAATAAACACTAGACTAGAGGTCTAGCCAGTACAAATTAGAGGGCTCTCAGGCTGCTGAAGCTCTTCACTACCCTTTAAAAAAACACATTTAAAGTCAACTTTCCATTGAACCTGGTTCACTTTTACCATCACTGAAGACCAAGTGTGAAATACTGAGTATGGAGAAGGGTGACAAGGTTGAAAAAAAACATTCAATACGTCTTTATGATGACAAGTTATCTTTAATCTTTTTCTGCCTTTTTTTTTGACTGAGACCAAGTTAAGGTTTTGAAACAGTTTTGAGTCCCAACAGTACTTTCCCTACAAATTTCCCTGTGTTCTGTCACTTGGCTTGTTGCTGAGTTTTCTTTACATTGGCCATTAATCAAGAATTGCCCAGATCTCCACCCAACCTTGTGCTGGTTTCTGTTTCCTTCTGCCAGGATTCCTGCTGGGTCTGTATCTGCTGGGGAAAGTCAGTTTCCTCAATCCAAATGTCTTTAGTTACTGTGGAGCTTTAAAGACCCAGAGCTAAGCTTTAGAAAAGATCTTAGCTGATCCAAGTCCTCCTTCCTCCCTCAGCAATGGTCACTGTTCTCGAAGTCTCTCCACTCCACTTCTAACAGATCTTCTGCTCCCACACACATTGTATCTCCTGTTCTCCACTCTGCTGCTTCTTGAAATACATCTAGGCTCTCCTTGGTTTCTGTGATCTCTTAGTGTTTCTTTTGCAAACCTGATAACTTTTTGTTCTGCATACTAACTGTGGTCTTTTGCATATTAATTCTTGAATCATTCTAATATTCATCACACTCTTGGCTGTCATCTATTCCTTGGGCTTAGCCATTTTGATGGTATCAGTCCCAAAAGCCACTTTGCCTCAGTTCTTATCTTTGCTACAAATTGTGTGACTTGGATAGAAAAAAACAACTTGTAAAAAAATTAGGTTGCTTAAAACCACAAACTCATGTGCTGGGCAGTGGTGGCACTCACCTTTGATCCTAGCACTTGCCAGGCAGAGGCAGGCAGACTTCCTGGTTTAGGACCATCCTGGTCTATATAGTGAGTTCTAGGACAGCCAGGGATACACAGAGAAACCCTGTCTCAAAAAAAAAAAAAAAAAAAGAAACACAATCCAAAAACAAACAAATTAATTTCTTTCTTAGATTATCTTTCTACATCTTTCTTCTTAAACATTATTCTTGAGATGAAAGCTATTTCAAATCACACTGAATTTTAAAAACTTAGAATCAAAGCCATGCAAAATGATTCATTAATATTTTTTCATGCTGATAACTTATTGGAATACTACTTTGAATATACTAGGCTACCTATAGATATGATTAGAATGAATTTGACTTACTCCTATGTGTCTTTTTCAGTGTGATCTACTTTATTGTGGGTAGCACTCACTTGACAACAAGTTATGCTGGATTAGGCGCTATGACATAAATGAAAAGAAATTGAAAGAAAAAGAAATATTAGTCCTCCTTCAGGTCTGAAGACACACTGAGTCGATAAAGCCCTGAGAATCAAGTAAAGACACAAGTAGTGGACCAAGAAAACAGT